AACTCCCAGAATTCCCCAGCCAGCATGCTGGCTGGGGAATTCTGGGAGTTGAAGTCCAGACCTCTTAATGTTGCCACGATTGAGAAACACTGATCTAGAGAATGTAATCTGACCCAAATTCCCCAAGTTACCCAGATTTATATTGATAGTATTTGCCAGCAGAGGAGCACACGGATGACCTTGCAGAAGGGACGTGGTGACCCTTAGCAAAACATGATCTTGACCCAGGAAAGCAGACATGGTGAGAAAGAAACTCAAGGCTGCCCCACGTTGACTGCCTTTCGTATGAGAGGGAGGGAAAGGCAAATGTGGTCCAGCTTTCAAGATTCAGTTATTACAGCCCAGAATAAGAAAGCAGACTTTGGTGTTTCTTCTGGTACCCATTTCTTGACCTGGTTTACTTCGAAGAGCTGACATTACCTGTCACTTGATTTGGGTGTACATTATGTTGTGTCATATAGTCTAATAATAAAAATTTAATAAATCTATGTTTGACTTAATGGTATTTTAAAATGTGGAGCATTGTTCTGAGTTTTTTTAAAGAATCCCATAATTTATGGATGTTTAGAAAGTATCTCTTTTAAGATCATAAAAAAATTGCATTTTTGTTTTTTGTTTTTCTTCTCCTTTTCATCTGTGATACTTTGCTGGATTCAGCAAAGCAGCCAAAATTAAAAGCCAAAAGACATCTCTCTGGATCACTGTGCAAAACAAATTATAGCAAGCAGCAGCAGAGGAACGGCTGCCTAAATCAAGAATCCACCATCACAGCCCCTTTGGTTCAGTGGGTGGAAGGCAGAAGAGTTTGGCAGCGGCCGCTGTGTCCGCTACCCTGTGTGCGAATGCTTAAGGCGAGGCAGACTTAATGACCCCCTGAGATGCACGCCAGGAGACAGCCAGAAATGGGGGCTGTCTTGTCTGCAATCCCACGGAGACCTAGAAGAGAAACGTCCATCGCCCAATTTGTTTCCGTAACCATATTTCCCACGTATGCTTTCAAGCTTGCAAATCCAACCAGTGGGATGGGGAAGGGGGGAGGCAGTATTTTGCAAAGGTTTGCTGCAGGACTGTGATGCACAAGACTGGCCCGAGGGGATTACTGCACAAGAGGAAGGATCCCCCCGCCCCAGCCTTTCAAACCTCCCTCCAAATTTCTATTGCCGAGAGCAAACAGGGCCATGATACACAATCATGAGTTGAGTTCAATCAATTTTGGATGACTGGGGAGGCGGGGAGGAAGGCAAAAAGAATTCCATGTGATTAAAGTGCACGTAAACTGCAATACTGGAATCATTACTTTCCTGAGCAGGTTAACAACCTAGGGAATCCAGGCCTAAAAATACTCTCTTGGGGACCTTTCGCAGCTCCCAAGACCTTTCTCCAAGTCCTGCAAAAACAGATCGGGGGCACCCCAACCCAGCCCTAGGCACTCTGCAAATGCTTCCCTAGAAGGGTCCACAATGCCCAGGTCGGGTGGGAATCCTGGGAGTTGCTGGGCATATACCTGGCAGGTCTCCAGGCTGAGGAAGCTGTCCCAGCTAACCCCAAATGGAGAAGAATGTAGGAATGCGAACACAGGGGTGGAAGGAACAAGAAGGCTTGTTTTAATTCTTAAGCAAAAGACATTTTTGTTAGAAGTGTGTTTTATTGTTTCTCACATCCAGGAAGAGAATACTAATGCTCACCTACTGATGGAGCACCTAAAGGACCCTTGCAAGGAAGAGGAGTTTGTCAGAACATCCCTCTTACAGAGTTTTTGAAGTTAAATTATAAGAAGTGAGACCACAGTGTTCAACTAGCACACTACTGATACCTCTGTCTTTCTCGGCAGAAGTTCTCTACCAGAAGGATCTGATGTCCCCCATAATTTACTGAGAGACCTTCCTGCATAGAAGCAGGGCCTGTCGCTGAGTCATCTCAAATCTGAAATTAGCTCATGAGAAATAATTGTTGAGCTCTAAGGATCAGCTCCCTCTGCATTCCCAACAGTTACACCGATGTCATATACCAAACTAAGCTCTTTTCAACCCTGGGATTACACCATGCACAGAACCATAATCACCTGTTGGGTTTGCACTGCAAAAAAACCTAAGCAGGGTTAAAACAAGCCAGACTTAGGGTATGGCAGGTCTGCAGCCCACAAACAGTAAAAAAAAAAAAAGAATTCAAAAAACAATTTGTGGAAGCGAGGAGGTGAACGGCTGATGCATGGCGAGAGCAATGTGTATCCCACCCCCAGCAGGTACACCAGCACTGATTCTGGACTGGTAAGGTAATCCTAGTAGGATGAAGGTTTTATCCCGGGGCCTCCGCTCCCAATTCTCTCTCAAAAAGTCTCTGGGCTGCGGCTTTCCACAGGGGACACGTGCCAGATTCTGCCCCACAGGGACTGTGGGAAAGACCCTGAGGAGAGGCCTTGGCGGCAGAGACCCGTGTCAGCCCTAGAGGGCAGGGCTCCAAGAGGCGATGGAGAGGGTCTGAAGCTGGCTAATTCACCACAGCCGAGCTGCACATGCTGTTCATGCCACAGGCATGGCTGCCGCGATACAGGTAGTAGTAGCCCTGCAGAAGAGAGGAGACAAGCAGTTCAAGGTTCAGAAGGAGTGGACTAGTAGCAGAGCCATTGAAGAGCGCACTGTACTCCCCCCTTTCACCCCACTGATAAGGGCAGGGAAGGGGAGATGCATGAGGAGGGCGCATCACAGCCCAGGCATACCTTCTCTCCCCAATCTTCCCCCCAACTGTTCTTGATCGCCCAGAATGGAACTCGGCCACCTGTGGGAGGAACGCACCATGGTCACGAACTAGCCATAAGTGCTATTTGCTTCCAGAAAAGGGTCAGAGAAAAAAAGCAGAGCAGACTCTCAGGAGGTGGCAGATGACAACTCCCATTATCCCCAGCTGAGCCACGTGCAGCCGTGAGCAGCAGAAATTCCATCCAGACTTCTACAAGTTGGAGCAGAGCAAAGTTTCTCAACCTTAGCAACTTTAAGAGGTGTGGACTTCAACTCCCAGAATTCCCCAGCCAGCCATGTTGAAGTCCACACCTCTTAAAGTAGCTCAGGTTGAGAAACACTGGACCAGAGGGATCCTGCTCTGCAAGGGGCTCTTGGCTTTTAGATGCATTTCCTACTGTGTTTTCCAGACAGCTGAAACACGTTCAGGGGAAAAACAGTTCCCTCCACGTTCAAGGCAGCATAAAATGTTATCATCTGAAAGGAATTGGCTTCTGTTCAGAAGCATTCATACTGGAGAAATAAACGAACGCATCTAAAATTAAAACTTGAAGGTTTATCTGCTGGGGGAAGGAGAGGAAGGATTGTTCTAATTTTTCCACTCTGAAATGGATTGTCACGAAATGTGCTACCGCTTTCTTTCAAGCCTACAGACTCAGCGCACACTTGCTCAGACCTCTGGAGCAGGCTGCTGTTCGTTTCCAAACATCAGGGCTGCCCAGTTCTGCCATCAAAGGAAAAAGAGTCCAAAAATGAGATTCAGAAACAAAGATCCTTGATAAAAAATAAAAAACCAACACCCGCCCCCCCGGCCCACAGGATTTCCTCAACCCAAAACAGCCACTCACGTTTGCCGTAGCCCACCAAGAGGACAGCGTGGTCAATCATCCAGGGATTACAGAAGATGAAGAAAGGGTGGGAAATTCCCCTCCGGTAGAACTGGGTGGAGAGAGAAGAGGGAAAACCAGGCTAGGCTAAAATGTAGTTACGGCAAACAAGAACCCAGCCATGATCTCACGTCTTGTATGCAGCAGTGTTGAGCCAGAAAGCGGTTTATTGGCTTGGACGTCACAGGTTGTGTGAAGACAGCCACTGTGTTTGGTTAGCCTGGGTTGAACGCTGCAAGCCTGACTCAGCTTAGCTTTGCAAGATCATCTAAGTCATTTGGGCACCTGCTGCCGGCCTTTCTGCTTAGGGATGTACAAAAGGGGTCAGTGAATAAATCCCAACCTGTTTTAGAGTTTTAAACCATCATTGGATCCCATGATTTGGTGTTGGGGCGACTGCCACTGGCTCGATGTGATGTGCAAAGAGGGGCTGTGGCTTTGAATGTAGTTTTCTGGTTTATTCCCACTGGGTCTGGGTTTTCATTTTTCCCTTTACCATAAATGTGCAGATAAAATAATAATAATAGAGATGATAATAATTATAATAGCAATAGTACTGATTTGATTTCTATCCAACCCTTTACCAGGGGCACTCAAGGCAGGAAAACAAACCAGGAATTAGCCAAACAAGCCACAATGTTATTGCTCGTCTTCAGGGCAGACTTGGTTCTGTCTGGTTTCCATCATCCACAATTAAGCCAAACTATGTCTCAGTCATGAATAAACGTTGGATAGATTTGGAGCAGGAGGGAGAAGGTGCTGTGTTGGATGAGGGCAGGATATTCAAGCCACAGGCTGCATGCAGCCCAGCACATTTGCAGCCTCCATAACCCAGAGATCATGTTTTGGTAGTGAAATATTGGCCAGTTTGGGGGGTGGTTTCGAGAGCAGGAATACATGTCGTTTGCCTCTCAGAGGCCTCCTGTTCCCACTCCCAGGTTTAAAAAATAGGCCCAGGAACGTTGCCTCTGCTTCTTCAAGAGATGGTCGCCAGGTGGCCTTCTGAGGTTCTTCAGAAGCTAAGGGGCTGAGTCCTAGTTTTAGAAATTGACCACGAACATTGGCCTCCCTTCACCAGTGCTATAGCCAGGCCCATGTGACTATTTCTGCGCAGACCTTCATTCAGCTTCGTAGTGGCCTCGCTCATGCAACCTGCTTAGGACATGGCTGAGAGAGCATCAGGAAATCCCAGGACTGGAGGCCAATTTGGGAAGCTGAAAAACATCCTGAAAGATGCAGTTCAGGAGCAAACCCCTTCCATAACAGTGCCAAGAAAACGGCCTGGAGGTGTCCATAAAGCCACCAGGAGCAACACTCAATTCAAAGCAGACTTTGTATTTTTAATCCACAAAGAAACAAATCACAGTATGACTTATTGTGGGTCCAAACCTGTAGCCAAGCCCACAATCCCATCCACCCTTATAAAGGAAGGATGGGAAATCTGGATTTGAATCAGAAAGAAGATAACACGGTTCCCCATTCCCACCACAAAAGACTCCTCAAGAACAGCCCACCAAATCCAGCCCCAGATAGACTCCTCCCTCTCCCTCACCAGCATACTGGCCTCTGCTGCTCCCCACACGGAAGGCAGGACCAGCCCCCCAGGAGCGCTCTCACCTGCATAGCAAAGGCATTCAGAGCAATGGAGATGGGACCGTTCTTGGCCAGCCAGACTGCAATCTCTGTCGGGGGAGAGAGGGACACGTAGAGCACAGGTAAGATGGAGCTGACCCCAAAGATAAAGATGCTGGGGTTGAGAAACACGGATCTAGATTTCGAAGATCCAATGGGGGGTTCTGGGAGTTGAAGTCCACCCACACATTTTAAAGTTGCCAAGTTTGAAAAACATTGACAGTTGATGATTCACCATGTTATGAGAACACAACATCTCTCTCACACACACGTGAGACGGGCTCAGGCAACCACCAGTCATGTTGCAGGAAACCAAGCAACTGAGTTTTGTTAACCCTGGTTTAGTGTGCGTCATGTGAACCCAGCCCGTGTCCCAGCAAGAGCTGAGCATCCATCAACTGAGATGCTTGAATCCGTCTTCCTGCAGTAAGACTGGATGGCCTGAATTAACCTTCTCCAGCTTGAGGATTTCATGGCTGTGGGTTTCACCCTCTTGAAGAACCTCGTGGGGTGCAGAAATTGCCTTCCTTCAGAGTGAGGGCCCAGGCAGGGGAAGACCACAAGACCTACCATCTGGCTTCACACCCTTCTCTCAACTGAAACTAGAACTTTTCTTGCTAGGACTAACGGACAGGCAATGAGGAAAGACTTAACGATGTTTTTTCATGGTAACTGCAGTGAGATTATATATGCACAGAGATGGAAAGATTCTGAAATACCTACCATGGAGGAATGGTTGGTTGAGATGACAGGATCTGCAGAGGTGGCCAAACTGACTTGTTTGATTAGGGAAAAGACAACTACTACATTTATCAGTGACTGGAAACCCCTTAGGGACTTTTTGCTGAAAACGGAAAAACTTGTGATTTATGAGTGTGATGATTAGAAAGGGTAGACTATGGAAAGAAGGGAGCCATGATATAACCTCAAAGAGAGAGGATGAAATATAAATGCATTTCTAACTGCTGTAAAGAAGATCAGAAGCCACTTTTTCCTTCCTTCCTTCCTTCCTTCCTTCCTTCCTTCCTTCCTTCCTTCCTTCCTTCTCTCTCTCTTTCTCTTCTTCCTCCTTTCGTCTTTTTTCTTTCAATTTACTTATCGCTTTTCTTTTACCTTTCTTTACTTTCTCTTTTCTTTAAATTTGTATTGTGTTTACTTTGTAAAAAACTTCCTGAATAAAAATGGATTAAATACGTGGCAAAAGGAAGAAACGCACCCTTCTCGTCCCGGGAGATGGCCACGCTGCTGTTGATGTAAACAGCCACTTTCTCCTTGGAGAAGCCACACTTCTGTTCAAAACCTTGGTAGCTGTAGTCACGCTCGGTCTCCAGGCCCCCTGGCAGGCAAGGGAGAAACCCAGTCAAGGAAAGCCCTCAGAAGGGTGTTGGGGCCGAGGGAGGGGAAACAGAGGCTCCAGTCGTGAGAAAGGGGGCTTCAAGGATGAAAACACAACAGGAACTCTTCAGTTGTCTGTTAGGAAAACTAACAGATGCCATCATCTTCCCCAGGGCGGGACAACCTAGGTCTCCCCAAGGTCTTGGATCCAGCTTCCAAAGGTTGTCATGCAATTCTTATTTTTAAGTGTCAGGAGAAAAAAAATGGTGAAATACATGAAGAGTAAGCATTTTCACAAATGAATCGGATCTCTCAAAAAACCAAGTCAGTTCTTCCTCAGCCCCACCCCCTCTTAACTGGGACCCACCCGCTCTGGAGGGCGAGGCCCCACATATGCCACCCAAAGGCACAGAGCAGCCTCCAGCTCGGCAAAGCTCTGCAGGAGAAGCTTCAGAAGCAGGTTGCCTAAAAGCAACCGGTCCAGGACGGCTCGCTCAGCAAAACCCTCCCCAAAAGAGCAATTTGCTTCACCGAGTCGTTCTCTGCGCAGACAGCCTGGGCCTGTTTCCTGCTTAAAGAAGTCCACACAGAGTTCAGGCTGAAAAAAATGCTGATAAGCCTTCGTTTGTTTTTTCCCTCGGCAGACCCTGAGAGGTTGGCCAAAGTGCCACCTTCCAAAAACAGGCCCAGCCTCATCTTGGCAAGAAATGTAGGGTCGGCCCCTGGCAGACTCACCCAGCTGCTCAATCGCCTCGTAGGCATTGGAAGGCAGGCCACCTCCACAGGCTTCGTCCAGAAGATCGCAGTCCACCAGCTCTGGGGAGGGAGAGGGCAGCGTGAAGGTCAACCGGACACTGGAGCTGGGTGCAGGCACCCTTTGGAGTTCATGCCCTTCCTCCTGGGGAGACATCTACATCCAGTGTGGCCTTTCCCATCTGGGCTGGATTCAGACCTGGGGAGGCCCTAAACTATGGGGAGCTGTGGAGGGTCTATCAGGCATAAGGCTGTGGAACAACTGAACGTGGCAAGAATGCCACCAGGATGCACAGCAATCCATGATGGGGTGGAGAAGGGCCCTCTTTGGACAGAAGGTGTGAACGCGTTCAGAAACAAAGCGCATCTTAATGAAGGTCACGCGAGCCATACACAAGGACTTCATTTACTTTCACATATGGAAATATAACAAAACTGTAGCAAATGGGAAAAAATCAGACATTTTGAGACGCCCCTTTGGACTATGAAACCCTAAGCCGTAGCTTGTTTAGCTTACGCCTAAATCCAGCTTTATTGCCCACCATCACCCAGTCTCCAGGCTAGGATTACCAGTGCAGGCTCAGACATCTGGACCGCCACTAGAGGGCAGTGAAGAGAGTGTCAGGTTCGGTCAGCACGAGGTTTCAGGGAAGCACGGGGCTGCAGGGAAGCTCGCAACCAGACCACGCGGATTCCACCGGCGGTAGCTAGCGGGGAAAAGAGGATCCGAAAG